AATGCCCAATGGCCAAATCCAATGTCCAAGGTCAATGTCCAATGTCTGAGTTCAATGTCCAATGTCCTAGTTCAATGCCCAATGTCCAAATCCAATGTCTGAGGTCAATGTGCGATGTCCAAAGTCAATGTCCAATGTCCGAGTTCAATGCCCAATGTCAATGTTCAATGTCCAAGGTCAATGTTCAATGTCCAAGGTCAATGTTCAATGTCCAAGGTCAATGTCCAATGTCCGAGTTCAATGCCCAATGTCCCAATCCAATGTCCAAGGTCAATGTCCAATGTCTGAGTTCAATGTCCAATGTCCTAGTTCAATGCCCAATGTTCAAATCCAATGTCTGAGGTCAATGTGCGATGTCCAAGGTCAATGTCCAATGTCCGAGTTCAATGCCCAATGTCAAAATCCAATGTCCAAGGTCAATGTCCAATGTCCGAGTTCAATGCCCAATGTCCAAATATAATGTCCGAGGTCAATGTCCAATGTCCGAGTTCAATGCCCAATGTCCCAATCCAATGTTCGAGGTCAATGTCCAATGTCGAAATCCAATGTCCAATGTCCGCCGTCAATGTCCAATGCCCGAGTTCAATGCCCAAAGTCCAAATCCAATGTCTGAGGTCAATGTGTGATGTCCATTGGGCATTGAACTTTATAACGGACTTGGGCGGACAAAAAGTTTTCGTGATTTTCCTTGAAACTCTTCATTTCCATATAAAGATTTCACATTGCTTTGTAAGAGTTTTGACTTTGACTTCGGCTTTCAATTTTGACTTCAACTTTTGACTTTGGCTTTCAGTGTTGACTTTTGACTTTCCCTTGTGACTTTCATTTTCACATTTCTCAGTGCCTGATCTGGAAGTTCCGGGCTGTCTCTAAGTTACATCATCATGACCAACCCGCCAACCCCGAAGCCATTAGGTCCATTTTTTGCCGAGGGCCATGCCTAATGCAATTCAACTATCAAACATCTACGATTCTTTCACGCAACTGGGTGAGAGAGTCCATGTCACGCTCAGAACACAGCTTGGTGACATTGGTCGCTTGAATGCTCAAAAGGCTGTCTGCCTTCAATTCCTTGAGGCTATTGAATAGGTGTAGCTACTTGTGGTATCATTACTAAAACTTAGGACATGATCTGATAGCTATCTCAGCATTTGAACATCATCCCACCTGCGGAAAGACATGTCATTGAAGCCAGTGTGGATCACATGATCCAAGAGCTAGATATTGCCACCATGATATCATCTGATCCACCAGATGCCAGCCCTGTCGACTTAGGAAGTCATACCCATACAGCAGACCCTTCAGTCACTTCCACTGTAGAACCCTATCATAGGACGTGTACATTGGCCTGCAAAACCTGGACTACCGGACGCCAGCCGGTCCATGTAAAACCAGGCTCGGCCGATGCTATAGAACCCTAGCAGGCCGATGCCTCACATAAAAAAATATCAGCGGTGTAGGAAGGGGCCAGCCGGCCAGGTTGATGTTAGCAGAATGGGCCAGCCCTGATGTGCAGTGTGTATGAGGGGGCCGGCCGACATATGTCTGCCAAATGGTGCATTAGGCCTGCCTGCCTCTGCATTATGTGAATGGGGGCCTGCCAGCTACAAATTGAATTTCAGCTGAATGGGCCAGCCCTGATGTGCAGTGTGTAAGAGGGGGCCGGCTGACATACTTGTGCCAAATGGTGTATTAGGCCTGCCTACCTCTGTGTTATATGAAAGGGGGCAGGCCAGCTACAGATTGAATTTCACCTTTGTGAGCCACATGGGCCAACCTGTATATGCAGTATGAAGAAGGGGGCTAGCTAGCATACTGATACCATGATGGCCTGCCTGCCTCTGAGGTAGGTAGAAAGTGCACTCAACCTCACTTCAAAGCTGCAGTTGATGTAGCATTTGAGTAAGCTGTCCAGACAAAATTGCAGCTTTCTGGTGCCATTTTGGTTTATCCGAGTTTGTGGCTGGCCACTTTATACAGACTGCACTACAGTCTGCAACAGCAGGCTGGCCCATGTGACCAGCTATCCACCTCATACACACTGCACAGCCTGTCCAGCAGACTGGGGTATAATCACAGCCAGAATGGCTAGCCCAGCATATCAGGCTGCAATATAAGCAACACAACTATTGCAATGTTGGGAAAATCAAACTGTGGTTGATGTGGCATTCAAGTAAGCAGTCCAGAAAGATTCAATGTTCTATCATGTCTAGCACAGTCCCCATACATTAGCCCTATTGAATATTACTGAAAAATATCTAAGAAATTGCTTGCAGCCTATCAAAATTCATCATAGGGGCTATTTCAGCTGTAGGACAGAGTTGCAGCAGAGTGAGAAAGGAGTACTAAGAAGAAATATTCAAAATTGATAGATAGCATGGCTAGAGGAGTGGCAGAAGTGATTAGAGCAACAGGAGGTCACATAAAGTATCATAATTATAGAGATTGTGTTGATCAAACTAAAAGTCAAAAAAGTGTCTCAATGAGTCACCAAATTCAAATAGCATATCTACACATGATGACATCAGATTCCCATGCTACAGGGAGCATAAATGAGGCTGAGAAGTATAGCATTATGACACCTCCCTACAGCATAGTCATATTCCCACACCCTGGCTCATAATAAAGCAATTACATGAAAAGTCAGAAACATTGAGACACTTTTTTGAGCCACTGTAGAGATAGAAAAAAACAGGCTGGTTGAGCCTGTGTAGTTCACCTTCTATATCTATAAGTGAGAGAAAGTGGATTATTTCTGTTGCTTGTATATCATTTTCATGGCAATGATATGCTAGCAACAGAAACAATCCACTTTCTCTCACTTATAGATATAGAAGGTGAGCATCTGAAATGAGTATCATGAAAATGATGTGCTCACTACAGAAACCATTCATTTTCTTTCACTCATAGACATAGAAGGTGTTGCACCCTGTAATACTGGGCTGGCCGGTGTAGAAACAACTATACTGAGAGGAACAAATGATGCTCCTGACTGTATCTAAAAAATGTTGTAGGTTGTGCGTTGCCTAGTCTGCTATGCTTGAGGTGGCAAGCGTGTTCAACCCTTAAGGGGAAGCAAGTGCAGCGAAGATCTAGAGGTACGCGCTGAAGCAAGGCACGAGAAAGTGCAGGTGTGCGCGAGGCGTGGGAACACACACGCGTATTAGCGCGAAGCGTGGGAAAGCACGCACACGTATGCAGAAATGATAGAGAGACTAGACTTAAGTGATAATATGATGCAAGAGATGTCAGAGTGCGAGATGTAAAGGAATAGAGCTCTACTATGTTCTCCTAAGTAGTAAGTAAGTAGTAACAGGTAATTGGGAGGTAAAGTTGTAGGAAAAGTAAGTGGTAAAAATGTAAAGTAAGTCCTGCTGGCGCTTATATAGCGTGCCTAAGTGCTGTAATGTGGAGCTGAAGCGCTACCGAGTAGGTATGTAGAGATATATATAAGTAAGGATCCATGATAAAAATAAAGTGGAACAATATACAAATGAGAGAAACAGAAATATACGCACTAGAGAACTTGGAGGACAGTAGATGGATGCATCTGGATGGCTGGCGCTATAGGGCACTCAAGCGCGGGAAAGTGCGTGCGCATATACATTGCGAAGCACGTGAATGGTGCACGCATGGCGCGTGTTGCACAGGAAAGCTGCACCTCATATAGGGATAGCTGCGGGTAGCGCATGGAGTGATGCTACAAGTTCGTGCTATGTACTCCTTGGTGGAAACTGCCATATCACGCCATGAGATGCACGAGTCTCTACACCGGCCTGGCTGTGTTCTATACCCAAGCTGGCCGGACAGGTTGTGCAGTATGTAATACTGGGCCGGCCAACTTGGCTTGTCACCTATACCACAGCCAAGTCTGATAAGATTAGCAAAGTCTGGCTGGGCCAGCCTGTTGTTACATCCTGTAACACTGGGTCGGCCAGCCTGGCTGTATCCTATACAATAGCTGGCCTGACATATTGTACAGTATGTAATACTGGTCCGGCCGGCCTGGTTGCCACCTACACCCCAGCTTGCTGGACTGTGTTATGTACCAGACTTGTTTTGTGCATGGTTATGGCTACTTTTAAGCTGGACTGCTTACATGAATGCTACATCAACCATAGCTTGATCATGCCAACATTGCAATAGTTTTGTTGCTTATATTGCAGCCTGACGTGCTAAGCCAGCATTCCTCAGTCAGCCAGATAGTCTGTACAGTCTGTATGAGGTGGACGGCCAGTCATATAGTGCCATATTCTATATGGGCCAGCCTGCACCTCTGGGCCGGCCAGCTTAGCTGGCACTTATACCCAAGCTGGCTGGACGGGCTGTGCAGTATGTATACAATGGCCAGCCACCCATCCCACATCGGCCAGCCTGCTGTTGCAGCCTGTAATATAAGGCTGGCTGCACACTATCATGGGCTGGCCTACTATTACAATATTTGGGCGAGGACACCTAACCTCATCTAGTATGTTTAGAAGTCAAGTAATTACATTATGAAGCCATCTTTAATATCAACTTGTCATGCTCCATTTTCCTTGAAAACTCTTCATGCCCTCAGCTGCAAACTTAGCCCACATGGAAGCCTGCTTTTCAGCATATGCCCTATGCCCATTCTTGATGCTTTCATCTGCCCTTGCTCTCCACTCCAACTCCTGCTTCTGAAACCACCATACTGTCCAACACATTTCATGCTGTACCAACTTCAGCTCTTCACTCCAACAGTCATATCGTGCTTTTGCTTTCAACCAATTGACTCAATAAATTAGGAATGGGGAACATAAGCTCAGTACCTTCATAAAAATCAGATAAGATTAAAACTCACATTCATTCATCCACTTGCTCTTCTGGCTGTCCTCTGCATTGTTGATTCTCCAAAACCAAGCTAGCCTATCAGAACCCTGACCATGCCTATTTTCCTCAGTGACTTCTTTGCTTACTGTAAGGTCCTCAGCCTTTAGGGCTTGATAATATGACATTGTATCAGAATCAGCCCCTAATCATTGCATTGCTGCCCTTGATCGGCGATATTCTTGAGCATGTTTGTTGATGGCCAAGGTGATTTTTCGAAGTTCCTTTGTTGATCTAGTACCCTGATGATGGATTGATTTGTTGGAGTGTAATTTCTCTTGAAGCACCACAGATCTGTCACTGAGAGCTTGACGAAGCTTTTCCAGGCAGTCATTTGCTTGACCCTTTCGAAGCTCCAGTTCTTCTTGACGTAATGGCATGACAACATCATTCATGATTGGATCAGATGTCCCCCATGATGGCATCCAAAGTTCAGCAACCTCTGCAGGTGAGTCAGCATCATCTCCAACGTCCAAAATACTGTCTTCCCCCAGCTCTTCAATTCCTAGAAAATTAGATCCATCAGCCTCCTCCAGGCACAGTTCAGGGTCATCTTGGTGCAATCCTGCTCCCTCTTCCAATTCCATCCCATTTGTCATAACCAATGCAGTCTCGTGGAACTTATTAATGCGAGACAAGAGTTTCTGCCTTTTTTCTTCCATTAGAATTCTCTGAGAAGCAGTTGGATCCTCTGGCAGTTGTCTTATAGAAGAACGTAGGCCATCTCTAATAACCCAATTTGAGTCAATCACATCTCAAATATTGAACACCTTACTGAGCATTTTCTATGTTGATACCCTCAATCAACCATGAAACAGCCCCAGTCCTACCATTGGTGGACACTTCATTTTCAGTTAACCTTAGCCTTATTTCAGCCATAGTTGGAGCTTTTGATAATTCATAATCAGGTCCAATCAAAGTTGAATTTTACCGAACCTACCTTTATCTATTGTAAGCTGATAGATGTCAAGAAGCTCACCTCGGTGAAGAGCTGCTAGTTCAGCTTCCTTCTTCCATTTCTGGATATTGGCCCGATCAAGAGACTTCATCAATTCTTCGTACGGACCCTGAGTGTCTTTAATGCCCTGTATGGCTTGATGATACTTTTTAAGTAATAATTTGACTTTTGAAGTGTTCCATTAGTCAAAGTTGACATCTCGGAAATAAAGGGTACTTGCCAATTCTGACAAGCTTCTTCCAATTAGAATCCCTCATATGGTCATCCAAGACTTCCTGTCTGTGAGAGAGAGTCATGGACCTTGCAGTTGGGGAAATCTTGTTAAACGGGGCCCAGAGGGTCTCCAAGATTTTCCCATCAATATGACCAGCTCCTGTAATAAAATTGAGGCTGAATCTGGGAAAGCACAGTAGCTTATGAGTGCTTAGATGAAACTTGCCGATCGCTGGCAATATTTTGATTGATTGAGGAAGAGACAGGTGATAGCTTTGATTCACCCGTTCATAGAAGTGGATACTCTACTGACATGCAACATCATAGATTATGAGTGCACTGCCAATATCTTCTGATGGATATTTCAATGTGTTGCAGATGAAATAGTCCATGTTCATTTGCCTGACTACATAGTCAGCCCAATGTTGTAGTACAACAATGCAACCAACATACCTCTCTCCCTTTTGGAAGTCAACTACTGCATGGGGAACAAAACATCCATGCCTAGCACATGCAGTTGCCCCAACCCCTGTAGCTCTTAGGTTGCTTCTCTGGACATTGGCTGCATTCACAGCATGGTGATTGCTGCAAGATGATTTCTGAAATTATATTAGACATCATTTCTAATGAAACATGTCATGAAATATAACAACTCACCTCTTTCTCTTCCACAGATTCTATTATGTGAGTTTCATAAGGTCCTTCTGTTACCATGTATCCCTTTCCATCTGCTAGTGAAACATCATCTTCTGGAGTCTTCATCTTCATATGCTGAGCTGTAAAATTTCCATCGACAATGTATCTTTGCATGACCAACCAACTGCGGACCACAAAAATTAGCTCAGTAGGCAGTTGTTGATGAACCAACTTACCTGTCATAGGTATCCTTCCAAGAAAAAGGTAAGTTGATGCCAGGCTGGGGACATGCTGGACAATAAAGAGCTAAATCCCCTGGACCAGGAGATCTGTCCGACTCATGTGCAAAGCCAAATCTTATTCTATTGACCAAATCCCTCCATATACGAGACACCCGCATAAGTTCACGGTAGTGATCCTTTTTATCATGTAAGCATGGGGTACAATGATGAAGAAATTGCTCACAGGTATTGTATGAGGGAAAGCATTGTTGGTAAAACAACGTAGCTTTTGATAGAAACTCATAGCTGAGGTCTTGCACTCTAAAGCGTCTATGAGGAAGTTATCTAGCACATCGAAGGTAAAAGCAGATTGAGGCCGAGTGATGCTGGCAGGAAATAACTTTGCTTTTAGCAGATGTAGATGTCTGTCCTTCTCAGCTTCAGGACACTGACACCAGGATACACAGTGTGAGTAAACTCCAGTAGAGTGCACAATGACCAGGTTAGACAATCCTAACTGTGTTTCATAAATAGTATCCCCCTCCATGTGTGCAAACACATCTTCCATGGCTCCAAGATCTGACCAGGGTGACAGGTTTGACTGCTACAACACATTGGGGCAAGAATGTCCCCCATGGCCAAGAGGCATTATATACCTGTGGTCCCATAGGGTATTAGACTCGTAGAACTTGCCATTCCAAAGCTGAAGGTTATGGAAGGGGTTGTGCTGGTGGGCTTTGACAGCACATGAGGAACACCAGCTGTGCTCTCCTGAGCAGGACAGACAACAAATAAAGCCCTCCTCTCGTCCACAATCCTTACATTTTCCATTGTTGATCAGCTGTTCCAACTCCAACAACACTAAAAGATATTCATTGCGCCAAGGCAAGTATTCCCTGAGGAAATCATTTTGGGTCTGTAATATTGGCTAGTTTTCAAGAATAATTATTTCCACAGAACTCACTTTTGTCTTTCATTGGATACTATTTAAGCCTCCTGTCCCAAAATCATCATATATCTCTCTGTCATAATTGACCAGTGAATGATCTTCAATATTCTGGTGGTGTTTTTGTTTCACCGGTGAGGTCGGCTCCACCTCACTGTCATAGTCTTCATAGACAGTATCTGCTTCTTTCCATGAAACATTTCCCCTCCTAGTTTTAGATGAGATGTATGTATATTTATAAGCACCTCTTTTTCTCTTTGTTGGCTGGGCATTATCAGAAGATGTTGCTACTCTGGCCCTATTTTTCCGTCTTGGTGTGATTTTTGAGGTCATTGAAATTATGGGTTTGTTCAAAGGTAACAGAGGTCAGAGCACCACATGAATTTTGGCACAGCTACATAATGATTTCACCAAAAAAATAATTATGGGAATTTCCCAATACTATCTCCTACTCCTTATTCTCTTCTGACTCTTCCCTCCTACTAACTCTAAAAAGAAACTCTGCATCGGAAATGATGGCCTTGGCACCCCAACTCTGTCATGCAGCATCCTTCATGAAATGGACAATTACAACCTGTTCTCCATTAAGCCAGGGACCAACAGAATATTCTAGCACCCGCCCTGCAATATAGACCATTGCTCCAGGGGAATAATCTAGTTCTGCATGGAGGTCTGCCAAGGCCAAAGTGGCATGATGATTTCTTCCTAGACTGACCAGGAGATCAAAAAGGGATGGGGATCCACCAGCATCTCTGTGGCTAAAGGTAACATGGTTAGCAATAATTTCAAGCCCTGAAAAGATCGAGGGCCAAGAGTCCACTGGAGCAGGGTTCTTTGGGTTCTTTTTTGATCCATGACAGACTTCTTTGATGGCCTGAGAAAATGCAGAGTTGCCAGCTTGAAAAAGATCCGGAGCCACAACTCTGGTAATGGCATTCCATAGAACTTCTGATGTTGTCAATGCAGCTAACCATTGTTGGACCTTTTTTGATTTGTAAGATTCTGAGGTCACCAATAGATCCACTCGTCGCTAAGAATAGAGTTAAGCCTAGACCCAATATATATAACAAGTGAAAATACAATACCTCCTGTCTTTGCATGAAATATGCAGGAGCTACTGTAATTCTACCAGCCCAAAATCCCCCTCCTTCAGCTGGAATCATATATCCATCATCTTTCCAACATTTGTTGACATCTTTAGGATCAACAGTTTTGAGAAGGGATTCTCTCAAGCCACCAGTGATGTGATTGAGATGCTCCTAATTAATTAATCAGCCCTGAAGGAAAATCCCCAACCAGAAACATACTATGCGAGAAGCTGTCAAAATATCAGGGAGATGAACTACCAAAATTTTTCCGTGCCTGTCCACGATGGTTGCTGGAACTGAAATTTTGCTGAGCACAGCCTCAGGGAAGAACTTCTTCAGTCTCTCTGGTTCAGCAGTTGCTGACCCATCCCTGTTAGGTTGTGACAAATTGACCTTGTCAGCATATCAGTCTACATCCTGATTGACATTGACTGTAATTCTCCATTAAATTTCATATACAACCCTAAATATTAACCTACTCACTAGGGTTGACCATGGCATGTGCAATGGTCAGGGCGGCCCGGTCAATTTCATATTCGGAAATTGAGGTACAATCAAAGTTCAAGGTATCACCAGGTGATGCCAAGCATTGCTGTAGCTGTACTGCTATTTACATCCTTGATTCCCTCAGTCATTAATAGCTGGCTGCAATGAATACAGAACCACAGTTACCTAGCTTTATGCAGCAATTCTGTTTGAACTTGGCCATCTTTTAGGACCCCTAGTTCAGATGAATTGCCCATTATCTCTCTGGTCCTTCTGTCAAGACTTGCCAAAACCTCAGTTGTCTGCCTTTTGACTTGGTTCATGAGTGAAAAAAAGTGAACCAAAGTTCTCGCGCTCCGGACTCATGTTGACTGAAATTAGTTGTGATGTAATTAGAACACATTATGTAATAGCCTAATACACCCTAATTAAATTTTAAATTGGACCACATATTGCTAGTCTCCTCTAGTAGAGTAAGTGTGAGGCTCAAACAATAGACAATCAAACTTGCTCTACTAGAGGAGACAGTAGACAATTAAACTTACTTTAATTGTGGTGTTGTCAGCGAGGCTGACTCGATTAACTAGGCTGGCTCTACTTCACTAAGAACACCATGGGGGCAGCCACCCTGTGCCATGAAAATGAAACGATTCACTTTCTTTCGCTTATAGATATATCATTGACCTCAACAGTCATGAAAATGATGTGCTCGCAACAGAAACAATTCACTTTCTTTCGCTCATAGATATAGAAGGTGAACTACATAGGGTCAACCAGCCTGTTTTTTTCTATATCTATAAGAGAGAGAAAGTGGATTGTTTCTGTTGCTTGTATATCATTGCCATGAAAATGATGTGCTCGCAACAGAAACAATTCACTTTCTTTCACTCATAGATATAGAAGGTGAACTACATAGGCTGGACCAGCCTGTTGTTTTCTATATCTATAAGCAAGAGAAAGTGGATCGTTTCTGTTGTGAGTACATGGCAATGATGTGCTTGCAACAGAAACAATTCACTTTCTTTCACTCATAGATATAGAAGGTGGTGAACTACATAGGCTGGACCAGCCTGTTGTTTTCTATATCTATAAGTGAGAGAAACAATTCACTTTCTTTCGCTATTAGATATAGAAGGTGAGCATCTGAAATGAGTGAGGCTCGAACAATATATAATCAAACTTACTCTACTGGAGAAGACTGGTTGTTAGACTGTGGTGTTCTCAGTGAGGCTGACGTGATCAGCTAGGCTGGCTCAACCTCACTGATGACACCATGGGCACAGCTGCCCTGTCCCTTCACAAAAATGATGTGCTCACAACAAACAGATTGTATTCTTTCATTAGACACTAACTAACTAACCCTAACTGTACAAAAACAATTCACTTTCTTTCATTCATGGACATAGAAAGTGGGCATCTGAAGTGAGTGAGGCTCAAAAGGTAGACAATCAAACTTACTTTAATTGAGGTGCAGTCAGTGAGGCGCATGTCACCTTGCATTACTCCCATGATCATGTGACTTAATTTTTGGGCAAAAATTTATGAGTCACATGTCCAGAATATGCCCATACAAGCTCTCCATCCTAGCCTTGCACCCTACAGTAAATGAAGCAAAGTAAAAAAGTAAACTAATAATGAGCCAACTGTAATGATAGTTAGTATGATGCTGAATATTAAAGTGATGCTTACCGAATTAAACATGTCAAAAAAAAAAGGGAGGCGCATCAAGTACAGACCAAAAACTATGGCAAAGATCAGTATCATCTTGAATCTTGAAAAGACACTTACCTCATCAAAACCGCTACCAGACAATGTGTGAGACAAAGCTAGAAAAAACACTGTTAGTACAAATCAGACTTGAAAACAAAACAAAAAACAAGCCAGAAAATTCAATGGATCTGATAAAGCTAGAGAGTAGGTTAGTAGATTAGATTTTAACAGGAGAGACAGATATATGAAGGCGCCAGTCCCTGGGGACATGGATGGCCAAAAAATTATCCCCCAGAGCCCAAAGTGAGAGGCGCCAGTCCCCGGGGACATGGATGGCCAAGAATATATCTAAAAAAACTAAAGAAAAGTGAGCTGCTGGCAGAATGAGAAGACTCACCTTTAAGGCACGCTATCAAATTTGATAGCACACCAGTTATTAACAAAAACTGCAAATAAATATGAAAAAAATCAGTATCGTCAAGCGGATGTACAAAGAACTTACTTGTTATTAGTGGCCTTAATGACTGCAGCGCTGCCTTTGACTACTTGCAGCTGCAGTCTGCAAGTAGCCAAAGGTCAGATGCAAGGAAGGTATGGTAGAGTAAAGGAGGATGAGTAGCATTGCAATACATGGTTAAAGGTTGAAAGAAATGAACCATGGGAGAAATGGAAATGGTTGATGTACCGTTTGTTGATTTGTTCTTGTTTGCCGGAATATCACATGCACAATTGTGGTTGGTTTTTGCGCACAATTGTCTTTTGTGGACGTGTCTCTATTGTCAACGCATCTCCTTCATCACTTGTAAGTTTTATTTCTTTTGTTTGTGACTATGTGACATACTGACTACTATTTCAGGCCAATGTTTGCTCAACGCACGTGTTTTGTGGACACATGTTTATTGTAAACGCGTTTCTTTTGCTACTGGTGAGTTTTTGTTGTTTTTCTGTGGTGCAGTGGCAAACTAACTACAATTTTAGTTCAATCTTTCATCAACACGCATTTTGTGGATGTGCGTCTCTTGTCAACACGTCTCTTTTGTTTCTGGTGAGTTTTTGTTCTTTTTCTGTGGCGCTGTCACATACTAACTACAAATTTAGTTCTATCTTTCGTCAACACGTGTTTTGTGGACACGCGTCTCTTGTCAACGCGTCTCTTTCATTACTAGTGAGTTTTTATTGTTGTTGTGTGGTGCTGTGGCATACTGACTACAATTTTAGGTTCTCTATCATGGCGTGCACCAAAAACACTGCAAAGAAGTGCACTGGTGGCTCAGCGCCACACGTACACCTCAACATACTCAAGACCGCCGCCAAGAGCCTTTCTAGAGAGCTGGCTGGGGGCCAAAGTTTGGAGATGTCCAAACTGGTTCATCACAATGAGGTAAGTCTTTTGTTTCTTGCTGTATGTGTGCTAATGTACCTTCTTCTCCCAACAGTTCTGTATCTTCTGCTGGGATGGCTCTGCATCATTTAAAGAGAATACACTCTTTATGTGCAACCACTGCCCCAGAGTGATGTGCTGCCTGTGCATGCGCCTCCCTCCAGGCACCGAAGACACGATCCTCAATGAGGATGTGTCTTTTAAGTGCATATGTTGTCACATCGCCCTGGAACAGCAGGGCGCACTGTACTATGTAAGTGTTTTGTTTTCATCATTTGTTCATTCACAACTAATACTATGACAGGGCTTCTATCACGCTAATGGTGTCCCGGTCCTCAAGTCTTTTCTACAGGTCCACGCTTCCCTCGAGCTCTCATCGTGTGCTGAACTTTCAGCGGCACCGGTGATATTCATTCACCTCATCCTTGTCGACTTCAACACTACGGCCAGCCCTTTCTCCTTGGCTCATTCATTCCTTCAGCCCTACTTCACCAGTGGCGGCATTGAATATTGCGAGATCGCCTACAACATTGTCTCTGATGCGTCCAGTTACCGCAAAACCGTCCGTCAAATCATCAAGGACCTCAAAAACTTGTTCGCATGGGAACATGTGGTGGTTGGTATATCCACTCACACTGACAATGATTCAGGTGATCCTTTTGCCGGGTACAGTTTGGATGGCGAGAAGCACTATGCTGGCACCCCAACTGAAGATGTAAGTTTTGTGTTAAAATTTTCTGCCGCTGATTACTAACTAGAGACTTGAAGTTCTTGGAGGGTATCCTTAGTCCATGGCAATCTCTCCTAGACCATGCCAATGAAACCTACCTGTGGCTCTTGTGCTGCGGCGCAATTGTCAACAACAGTGACTTGTTTGCAGGATTGCAACGCGCAGTAGTTCAGTAAGTTCATTTAAATTGCATTTTTTATCTTATCTGACATTCTAACAGTCACAAGCTCTCTGCCACAGTCACATTCAACACCGCACGTTTTCAACCATCTTTTGCGTCCCATTTGCTCCTGGAATTCACTGAACAAGTCCTTGTGGAACGTTGCCCCATTGGCCTCGCATTTGGTGACATGCTGGCGCAAGCTTACAAACTCGGTCGCCACACTGACGTCTTCTTACTGACACCACTTGTGGGTAGTCTGAAGGTCTCCAAGTTTGTATGGGTTGATGTCAAGTTCTGGCCTTGGGGTGGCTTCCTGCCAATCCAATGCCCAAGCTGTGGGTGGACTGATTGTTGGAGGTCAGTCTTTGTGAGGGCTTGCAAGGATAAGGTCTATGTCTTTGAGTGCAAGAATGACACCTGCACCCAGTCTTTCACCTTCAGCCCTCCTGTGTTACAAGTAACATCGGCTACTTGGCCCCTTATCATTTTTCCCTTCATCATTGTCCTCGCCTTCCTCTGGCTCATACTCCTTCACCGACTATCTGTTGATCAGATCCTCGGGACTGTCCCCGTCCCTCGTCTCCCTCCTATCGCACCAACATGTGCACGTGCCTTTGGGCTATGACTCGTTCTGACTCGTGCCACCAATGTGGCTTTCATTATCTTCCCTTATCTCTTATCCGACTTGTGCGTGCTGCACATTGTATTTCTTACCGTTGGTTCGTTCCAATGTTTCTCGGTCTCATTCCGCATTCGACCTCTCATCACTAATCAGGCTATGCTGCCACCGTACCTATACCCTTTCTGTTTCCCCTCTGCCCTTACCTACGGTACGGTAGCCTTGCCCTTAACCCTTTCCACTTAGTATAAGTAGTCGGTCACCTTGTACTAGATTCCCTAACTTGAATCTACTCAATCTTCCCTCGAACATACTTCCCTCCGAAGCCCCCTCAGCTTCAGTCTCTAGTATCTTTTCTTAGGTGCTCACTGTGCCTAAGTCTACCTCGATCGACTACTCATCGTTTGGACAAGACAGTCCTTACTTTGAGAATGTCAGTGACTTTGAAGACATCCGTCTTAGAAGTCACGTGACACGCACATCTCTGATATCTGCTGACTCGTCATCGCCAGTCTCAGTCGCTACACCGGACCCTTCCGGTTACGTCACAAACATTAGCGGACAACGCCCCTCTTAGGGCTCCGCCTAACAGATCTATTTGAGTGCGTAACATCCTGAAGGGGCCACCATGTTGACATCAGGTAGGAAGCAAGGGTGTTCATGGATGCATGTACCTTTGAAGCCATTATTGACTTGATTATGTACATTTCTTACTTTGGTTACTCAAATTTGGTCACTTCATATATGTCTTAGCTTTACACAATAATGTTTGGTTGTTTGTAAATGAAACTTTGGTAGATGCACTTTGTGGATTTTAAATATAGTGAAAATTGTCAACATAAATGTCACATGACCGTGTTTGTAATGTTGAGTTTTTCAACAATGAAGTCTCGTCCAACAGTACATCTGCAAACTTGTACCGGCCTGCATCCCTGTGATTCTTATTTGTCAGATATAATGGCCAGCTGGACTCTTGTTTTTAGCAATGTGTTGAATGAACACAAAGATTCCTTTGTAGCAGCTAAAGGAAATTCTGGCATCAGGGCTCACATCCTCAAGACAATCAAAGATGCTATAGGCAGCAGTGAAGCAGCCAAAGACCCTTGTGTCATGCTTCCTGAGAAAAATCTGTGCAAGGTGAGCTTTTATAATTGTGTTCTATACTAATCTAATCAATACAGGCTGTTCGTGCCTATTATTTGGACTTCCTGGAAGATGATGAGGATCGCAAGGCAGAGGAAGAGATTATCGAGGGAGGAACTAAGGACACATCTGCTCCAGATGCTGTTACTGTAGAGATGGTGAGACAGAGGGAAGATGATAAGCCTGAGGATGCTGGGAAGTACAAGACAGAATTCTCTGGTTTTGATGTCGTCCAAAAATTATTTAAGGATGAATTTGCAGAATATGACAAGCAACACAGAGATACCTCCAACTCAAAGTCTATGGGTCAGAGGACAAGATTGGCCCGCATGTGGCACCAGGCCATGTCCCCTGAGGTGAAGAAGGAGCTCGAGCGAGTTGCAGGAAAATGGAACCAGGAAGGACCTCCTGCAGATACCAAGGACAGGTATTTTTTTCCCAAGATTCTATTGGCATACATGCTATATAACTCAACAATACATTAATAGATACCATACCCATAACCAGAAAAAAATGATGGAGGACTTTATGGACATGGTCCGGAGAACCATGGGATTGCATGTCGTCATCCTTACAGCCTATGACCGAGGTGAGGGAAAGGCTCCTGGAACTACTGTGTAAGTGTTTTTGATGCTTCATATTGTTAATAATGGTTAACTTGTTTCTAAAGCTGGGAGACTTCGCCACAAAAGGCCAAAAAAACCTTTTACTCAGGCAACCAAAGACAATTGGACATGGGCAGAACATGCTCAAGATCGTCTTGCCAACTGGCTTCTCGAAGGAGAAGATGGTAAATGTCTCTTTTAATTTTTTAATTTAATATGGTAGCTAAAAGTCTGTCAGCTGATGGAGAGGACGACGATGAAAATAATCTCCCAGATCTCACTGTTGAGGTCGATGATGATGGTTATCCTTGCCTACCCACAGGCTTTGTATGTCTCAAGCTTAAGCACAGGCAACAGCTTGTTCAGGCTGTCTTTCAAAAGGCCTATGGTAAGTTGATTTGTCTTATGTGATTGTATCATTTACTCACTTTCCTCAGCTGTTATTACCAACAATCCCAGGGCTCTGGTGCCCTGGAGTGAGATGTCGACCGATCCCACTCACTACCTTGATTCAGGATGCATTCCTGAGAATGTTGTCATCAGGGATTCTTCCCACCTGCAAAAGGACACGATCACTGCAATATACTCCCACTGGAAAGACCATGCTAGTCATGACATGCCGATTGTACATTTTGTTGGATATAGGCAAGCTGATTTCTATGATGCTCGCACTAAGAAGGGAGCTGCAAAGGGCAAGTCAAGGGTGAAGCCTGCCTATGTTGAAGTCTCTTCAGATGAGGAAGGACTCTTGAACAAGGTCACCAATGGTAAAAGCTCTTCAGATGAAGATGTCGTCGAGGTGGAGACTCCGACCATTCCTGAGTCCAGCCCCAAATACCATCTTGCTAGGGACATGGTCCCTTACCTCAAGTCTCTCTCTACTGTCCCTTCATATCATTATCTTCTTACTGCAGTTCAGAAGCTTCCGGTATGTCAGATCTCTTAACCTCATGATTTTACATTGATTTTGTCTTTTTTAAAGCAAAGAACAGATTCAAAGTCAAGGAAACAGCATCTTCCTGTCTGGGCTTCTTGGACGTGGTCTCAGACATATCTGCCTCAAGACATCCATGAGGATATGAAAATTGCCTCAGTCGCACTGGAGCATTTGAGTAACTACCAGTTCAATTCTCATGGATGGGGCATGGTTGTGACCCTGGGACTTGGACTCCTACTTCGTGAGTGTTGTCGTGCTCAGGAGTATGAAGCCGACGGAGCTGGAGATGATGTACCTGACTACTTGGATAACTCTATCTTGGGCATCCAGATGGGCGACCAGATTGAGGAAAAGGTTATAGAGATAGGAGCAGAAGTAGAAGCCATACTGAAAAATGAGAGCCTGAGGTTGTCTGTTGTGAGGAAATACATTGAGAAGAGGCGTTCAGAGGAGAAAAGGAAGTTGAAGGAGAAAAGCAGAGTCGAGGAGGAGAAGAGGGCTGAGGAGGAGAAGAGAGTCGAGGAAGAAGAAAGATTAGCTAAGGAAGCAAGCAAGGTGGACAAGAGGGTGAGGAAATCCAATGCTAAAGGGAAGGGCAAGAGGCTTGCTGCAGATGTGGAGGAACCAATCAAGAAAAAAGTGAAAGCTTCCCCTCCTGATCCACCTCGTCGTTCTGCCAGAGACAAAGCACCTCTAAAGAAGTACAATGTCTGAAATATTTGATATATCATTCCATACATCTTGTATCACAATGGCTTAGAGTTGATTAAATCTTTTGTATATCTGTGCTTGAGACTTAAAGAAATATTCAATATGGCACTGGCCATACATGTTTGAATATAGGTCATTACTCATGCAGCTGGCTCATTTGCACGTACTGCACAACCAGGCCAGCCTTCATTGGTATGGGTCACTATAGGTGCGGCCAGCCCCCTTTTCACACTGTAGAAGCAGGCCGGCCCACAGGAGTATTGGTTATAACCTATGCAACTGGCCCATTTGCACAGAACGAAATACAGGGCCGGCCAGTATTGACCTTTGGGGCAGCTGTTCCCCTTCACATATGCCAGGGGCAGACTGCCAGAATGTTGGGTTCTTCACAATTCACTGTATACTATCAATGGCTATAACTTGATGTAGATTATGCATGACCTGGCCTTTATAGTGTACAGTGAATTTTGAATAGCCCAAGGTTGATACCCTAGCCACTGTATATATTTTACAATATTCACAGATTCATCATCACAGTGATATGCAGGGTGAGGATGGCTCATCACCTCTACATGCATGTGTTACAGTTCTGTGGGTCACAACTGTACTACTAGTGTATTGCACAGATTTTGTAGGTTTTATATTATTTTTTTCATTAGCCTTTATCATCAGTATTCAAGTTGGATCAAAGGTAATAACCTCATCCTAATCCTTTGATACAACTTGAATACTGATGATATTTGGATAGTTTAGTTACTGATCCAAAATTGTTTACACTGCACTGTATTTTAGATATTACCATTTTTTATACTGGAGGATGGAGGTCTTCAAGTGCCTTCAAAACCATACTAATCCAAGAGCTACCATTAGCCCCTACAGTGTTTGGCCTATCTGTCATTTATACTAGAGACACTGGCCTGTCCAGGTACTACAGGTATGTAGAGACACTGGCCTGTCCAGGTCCTGCAGATACATCATTTATACTAGAGACACCGGCCTGTCCAGGTCCTGCAGATATATCATTTATACTAGAGTCATTGGCCTGTCCATATTTCACATAGTCGGCTGATCCTGGATATACGTACACTGGCCAGTGTCCAGTAGGCTAGATTTTGCAGGCCAATGTACACATCCTATGACAGGGTTTTACAGTGTCATATGACTGAAAGGTGTGCATACAGGCACTGTCGGAAGACCCAGCATTCACATTCTTCCATCTGATCTTGCTGTACTCTCATCAGGAAGGGTATCAAGGAGGTGCCTAGCTGAACTCTATCAATGTCATCCCCGCACCATATGTCGTCGACTACTCGAATTCAACCTTTCTTCTCTTGGACCTCCAGTATATGTGGATGAGCAGCAGCCTGATGGTAGTATCAACCGAATATACCATTGAGGATCTTTGAGTGATCTATCCACAATTTCAGATGCTGAACTTGATAGATTGATACTGGAACTCCATCAGCAGTTTCCATCCTTTGGACAACGGATGCGTGATGGCTATCTTTTGCAGCTTGGCTACCGCATCCCTCACAGCCGTATAGAAGTATCATATCTGCGAGTTGTTGGTCCATCTCCTGCGACATTTGGTCCATGGCGAATCCAATGCCATAGCTATTCTGTACCAGGCCCCATGGCCCTTGTTCATCATGATGGACAGCATGGTGTGTTGTGTACATGTGGTGTAGTGAAGCTACTAATTTATTTGCAGGTCTCATCTGCTGAAAGCTAGTCATCCATGGCTTCATTGATGGATTCTCTCGTTATGTTCTAGGAATTCATGTTAGTAATAACAACCGCTCCGCAACTGTGCTCTCTTTATTTAAAGATATTGCTATGATCCATGGATACCCAAGCCGAGTGAGAGGCGACCATGAGACAGAAAATTTACTTGTTGCTGCCCAGATGGAAGAGGTACAAGGAATTCAGTGTGGCTCATACATATGGGGCAGGTAAGTATTATTGAGCTTTCCACATGTTAGCCTGTTTTAATTATATCTGCAGGAGCATTCACAACATCCAGATTGAACATCTTTGGGTGGATGTGACAAACAGCCTAGGGCAGAAGTGGAAGGAATTTTTCCAGACTCTTGAAGCCTACGACAACCTTGACGTGAACAACTATTCACACCTGTGGCTGCTTCATTTCCTATTTATCCCTTTGATCAATGACAACGTAGGCCAGTGGGCAGCCTCGTGGAATCACCATGTTCTTGGGCATCATGGAGAGCCCCATTGGTCGCCCCATGACATGTTCATCCAAGGTATCATTGAGCACAGGCATCGAGGGGTGTTTGTTGAGTTGGCTGAGGACCAGGAGGTAGAAGATATTGCCAGCTATGGCATTGACTGGAATGACTTGGATGACCAGTGTCTACTGGCTCATCACAATACTCATAATCCCGAGGACGGTGATTCAACCAATCCATTTGTATCAAATCATCCTGATTCTGATCTATCCCATGTTGAGGTTCCTGAGTCCCATTGTCCATTTACTGACACTCAACTTCAATCTTTTCTCTCAGATATCCAGCCCCTTCTCGATTCTAGTCTCTATGTCGATATGCACTCACGCCATCTACTTTGGATTCAAACATTAGCATTAGCTTCTTCTAGAACTGAGCCTAATACTTGAAACTTGTATATACTATGAGGACTCCCCTTCAGTCAGTACTTTGTGTTTATTGAAAATCGACAAGAATTCACCTCAAGACCTTCTGTTTCTTTTCCCAACCATGTATAGTTTCTCTTCTCTGATTCTTGCGTAATCTCTCTGGTCCTCTCTTGTGACTCTTAATGAGGACGGGGTGACAGTGTTGAGGATGGTGTGTTCATTCTGTTGTTGCCCACAACGAACAGCCATCAGTGTTTTGTTTGTGCAGCTCTGCTGCTAATGGGCTTCATCACAGCCCGCCATTTCGCCTTCTCAAATACCTTCACAGCAATTCACAGCTTCAAAATGTTTATCTTGGCGAAGGTGATGGTGTTCCGAACATGGTAGTTGCCAAGATGCCCGAAATCATTGAACCACGGAGAAGGGCTCCCTCTTTCTGCCTGACCTCAACGTGCACCCTTGCCCTTCCTACCCCCGGTCTGGGTCCCAGATGCAAAGACAGATGCACGTATGCAGTGTGCATGCCCGTTTGGGCTTGTGAGGTTCACGGTACCTCTATTGATGTCTGTGTCTTTCTCTTTGCCGTCATTTGCACATATTGTGGTTGCCATGCTGCTAGTTATTTTGACCCCAACTGTAAGGCTACCTGTCTCCGTGAAGTCTAATGCTGATGCTGGCCCTGTGTGGCAATCTAAAGTTCCAAAGTTTCGGGTCTTGGTTCACTCACCTTTGAAGCGCACATCGGGCCTTTCAGGAGCATATACATATACCATGTATAGTGTTACTTCACTGTTTTCTTCGGCTACAGATGAATCATATGATCCATACATCCCACCGATCTCTCCTACCCGCATAACAGTTCAACGGCGGTTCTCTCACTTCATTGTGTTACACACTTCAACTAGACGTCTTCCTGGCATTGCAAATGATGCGGTGAGCATGAATGATAGGTTTATGTTTGCTGTTTAACCCATGTTCAAGGATTGGAAATGGCTTATGCCCCAATTACTTTCAATGCCTGCTGCTGGGCCTTCATTCTTCGCTCACATTTTTCATCCCGCATTCAACGTAGATCTGGACGATGCCACAGAAGTAATTGATCGCTTCAGTCATCACACCCTTGCAGTGAGCAAGGGCACGCAGAGCTTGAGAGATGTTTTTGGTTGCATTCGTGAAGTGAGACTAGGTGAGTATGGGCATCAGTTGTGCCAAATTATCATCATGACATGCTTTCCAGAGATGTCGAAAGCCGAATGATTGTTGTCATACTCATTATTGTCCTCGATTATGTCGACACCTTTGTCTTCTACTCCCCTAGAGATTAATGGAGATCCATGGGACACCCCTCAACAGAGAAATGGGCTCTTGAACGAAGAAGGAGCTTGGTGTTGGCATGAAGGCTGTCAAGGTGCTCACAAATTTCCGGAGTTTATGACTAACTGAGACATGACTCGAAGATTGTCTGAAGCTCACAAAAGCGATGCAGAAAACATCAGATGGTCTGCAGATTGTTGCAGACCTGTATGACGATCATGTCTGTGTCATGTTCCTTATGCAAGACTTGTACTAACCACAGATGAAGGCCCGGCGTACCCAGCTTGCAACTCACAACGCCTTCAAGAGTGTTGCTCATCCATACCAATTGTATGAGGTATCTTGGATTGTTTGATCACCGCTTTTGCCCTGAGTGTGATCATTCCAGGGAATTGTTGAAACCCGGCAATCTACTGTTTCACGATATAAAGATGCTCTCAGATTGGGAAAATCAGAACATTCATAATTTTTGTGGAAGATAATGGCTTGATGCATTTGTTCAGTCAAACGATGACATGGCCGCACACTGCGAAACTGTCTTGAACATTACAATGGCTGAGATGGACACATACCATGACCGGAAAACTTTAGCACAATAACGAGGGAGTATCTTGATGGAGAGATACACTTTTACAAACAGGTCCTGCACAAGCTGAAGGCAGCCCGGCGCACCTTCGACACTCTCATTTTGGCGAGCTGAGCAGGTCACCTCGTCAGCCTTCAAGATATGAGCAGGATTTAGAAGCCCCGAAGCTGGATCCTCCACCACTGCCACAGCCCTGTCCTCATGTCTATGACTCAGTGTCTATGAGGCCAGTGAATACAGCAATACATAAGGGAATCAGAGCACTACTAGGAAAGTCCCAGCCTGGTAGGAAGGGGAGTTTTTTGGGAAGAATGTGGGCTGAATAAAGTACCTGATGTGGTAAAAAGCTGTTACTGTCACTTCATGTTGCATGGCTGACTCTGTTGTATCTAGAAAGTTATCAGCAGTTTCTGACACAAAAATTGGGTCGACTTACATGAAACTCTCTATGGACGTCTCTTTTTAATTATCTATAGCTACTGTCCCCAATCAATTCGAAGATGTTCCGTCTATACCACAAAATGTACACCTTGGGTCGTGTCTAATTGTCCTTAACTATTGACTCTATTGTCATGTTATTTCACCATTGTCAAAGTTACGGAATGCATACCCTGCAACTGGGTGATTCAGCTCAACCTTCTCAAGACGAACTTCCCGATGCAATCACAATACTCGCCACACACCTTCATGTTACATACTCACTGGCGGATTATGATTCACATCTCTTGGATCTGCTTCATGAAGTTTCACCTATTCTCACAATGTTCACTGGCCTTGTTAAGCATATGCATCGAGGTTCCACGCAAGATTTTATGACATCACTCCAGCAGCTCTCATTGGCTCTACAAACACACAAGCTACTACAGCTAGACGCCTCGCTGTGGGCCTGCGCTCTTCATGTCTTCGAGTACGCCGAAAGGTGTTACAAGTAACATCGGCTACATGGCCCCCCTATCATTTTTCCCCTTCGTCCTCGCCCTCGTATGCCTCCGGCTCGTACTTCTCTACCGACTATCCGTTGACCGGATCCTCGGGACTGTTCCCGTCCCTCGTCCCCCTCCTATCGCACCAACGTGCGCACGTGCCTTCGGGCCATGACTCGTTCTGACTCGTGCCACCAATGTGGCTTTCCTTATCTTGTCTTATCTCTCCTCTGACTCATGCGTGCTGCGCATTGTATCTTTTACCATTGGCTCGTTCCAATGTTTCTCAGCCTCATTCCGCATTCGACCTCACATCACTAATCAGGCTCTGCTACCAGCGTACCTATACCCTTTCCGTTTCCCCTTTGCCCTTACCTACAGTACGGTAGCCTTGCCCTTAACCCTTTCCACTTAGTATAAGTAGTCACTCTGTACTAGATTCCCTAACTTGAATCTACTCAATCTTCCCTCGAACATACTTCCCTCTGAAGCCCCCTCAGCTTCAGTCTCTAGTATCTTTTCTTAGGTGCTCACTGTGCCTAAGTCTACCTCGATCGACTACTCATCGTTTGGACAAGACTGTCCTTACTTTGAGAATGACAGTGACTTTGAAGACATCCGTCTTAGAAGTCATGTGACACGCGCATCTCTGATATCTGCCGACTCGACGTCGCCAGTCTCAGTCGCCACACCAGACCCTTCCAGTTACGTCACGAACATTAGCGGATGACGCCCCTCTTAGGGCTCCGCATAACAGATCTATTTGAGTGTGTAACAAAAGGCACCTCAAAGGAGATTCAGAGATTCAAGCTTCTCTTGATTGACGGTGTGGACGAGGCTGAGCGCTGCTTATTTGGAGATGGTCTACCTGATAGCAGCCCAGCTGTTCGGATACCAGGCCAGAGCAAGAGATTCTGCGGTGCACACCATCGTCGACCGAGTGGAGAATGAGAGTGGGAGGAAATGGTTGGCTGCTGGATCCGCAAGATGCCTGCTCATGTGAAGAAAAAGAAGATTGCACAGGTTGCCTCTTCTTCCAACCAACCTTGTGGTGAGTCCACGTTCTGTTGCATAATTTGTGTGCTAAATTACATAGACCATGCCAGTTAAGCAGAAGTGGGACAACGACTTACTAAACAAGCTCCTTCCAGACGGACCTCCGGATGAAGCTGCTGCATATGGCAGCTTGGAGTTTGATGAGGTATTAGATGAGACAGTACGGTTCAATTCTCCACTCATTCAATCTGAATGGTGAAATCAATAATAATTTACAGTACAGACTTCTGCAGGATCATAGAGGATGCACGGTTAATGCTGAACCCGTGGGAATCAATTGATCTGCCCAAACATCATGCTCATTCTGTCAACTTCACCCGCACTTTCTTTTTTTACCTGGGCTGGCCAGGGCAGTCCGAAGTTGCTTCGAACCCTGAGCTAATCCCAGTATAAATGCAGACCCGGCCAGGGCATACAGAGTTGCTTTGAACCCTGAACTGGTGAAGCAATTTAACTGCATTTTTGTCTTGCACTTTCTCTTTTTACCTGGGCTGGCCAGGGCAGTCCGAAGTTGCTTCGAACCCTGAGTTGATCCCAGTGTAAATGCAGACCCAGCCAGGGCGTACAGAGTTGCTTTGAACCCTGAACTGGTGAAGCAATTTAATTGCATCTTTGTTTTTGTCCCTTTCCTTGTTCCTATTCATACCTTCCCATATGTCTCTAGGACAATCGTGCTATGGTGATCAAGGACCTTGCAGAAATGACTTCAAACTTCGGCCTCTTGTGTCAGAAGTATGCTCTCCTTTCCTCTCTCCACCCTACTCACAACACCCTAGTGTTTCTGCTGCGTCTGAAGCAATAACTACTTACATCTGAAGTCATCACTCTCGATGCAAGGCTCAAGATGATCACCCTTTTTTTCGACATACCCTCTCTGGCATGCCCATGTGCTGCTCTTCGATGCACAAGGTCTTCTCAAGTTCAAGAGCTCCTGGTAGCTTGACACACGCTACGTGGTACCAGCACTTTTGTTCCTTAGTTAGTACCATGCTGCAGGTGAGAGCTCTGCTATAGCTGGAGGTCTCCGTGCAGGCTCAATGACTCTGTGGCAGTCAATCCTTTCTTTTTGGTTTGATTGTACTCCCCTCCCCATGAAGTCCAGTATGGCCTGTCCCCACCCCGAGACTGAGTAGCGGAGCACCACTTCCCCTTCCACCACGTCCACATGTTTTAATTTATTTTGTGCTCGTATTCTATCCAGACAATCACTGGGTCATGGGGCCTAAGCTATGTGACCCTTCGGTGAAGCAGTACTCCGGTTACCTCAATATCACTGACGACAAATGTTTGTTCTTCTGGTCAGTTTCAATTGATGCCATCTTTTTTCTTTTCTTTTTTTCTTGTTCAGCCATAATCTTATTCATTTTTATCTAGGTTCTTTGAGTCACGCACTTCTCCGGAAGATGCGCCCCTTGTGATGTGGCTTAATGGTGGCCCAAGATGTAGCTCCTCCACTGGTCTCTTGTTCGAGCTTGGTCCATGTAATATCGCAGATGGAGGCACCAACACAACATTTAACCCCCACAGCTGGAGTACCCACGCTAACGTGATCTTCCTCGACCAGCCTATCAATGTCAGGTATTTGTACTAGTTCGAGTCCTGCAACATGGCTGTCAACCAGGTGTTCATGCTCCAGGGCGATTCAATGCTGAACACACCTCTGCTGTTGACAGATATGATCAATGATGGTGTCAGGCTGTTGATCTATGCTGGTAATGCGGGTGAGTAGAACTTCTATCTATTGTGGTTACGTATTTCTGATGCCATTCTCAGATATGATGTGCAATTACATGGTGCATATGTAACTGGTTATCTTTTCAGGCACATGGCTCCTTACGACCAACCTGAAGCTGCCTTGGTGAGTGATATAATCCGAGCATCAAGGTTCATTCGCTTATAGTATACATATGACATGATGGTCAGGTGGATCATGGACATTGTCTAGCTGTGACTGGTCCTCTTCCTACCGACCACATACTCCCTCACCATGTACGTGATCTCATGAACCGTCGCTTGTCACTATTTCTGATGAGTCATTACGTCAGTCTTATGTTTCTAGCCAGATCGCACCTTTTGCCTGCCAGCTTGTAGGACAGGTGCTCAGCTGCCCAGCCTCAGAGGAGCCAACTCATATCTGGTTCCTTCTGAATGACAGTGTGGTGCTACTAACAAGGTCAGTGTCCTCAAATCTTGAATTTATACATCTATAGACCTGACTATATAGGAACTACGCTATGACTCCAACAAGCTTGAAGCTGTGAGTACCACATTGCTTGGAACTCGCCTGAAAAGCGGATAGAGTCCTCAGCATGATATAGATGATCGGACTTCCAAATACTGTCTCTGTGGCTGTCACAACAGGCTGTTGAAATGTAACCTCATGACTTAGTACCAGCTACATATGTCCTTGTACGAATGTACAACTTGTTCAGCTCCAAACTGGAGGCGATACATACAGTGCGGCTTGGAAGCTAGCATGGATGCCAATGGTTCGGGTGTAGCAAGTTGTATACTAGTACTGTGAGATGTACAAGCTCCTGGGAGCCACGCATGTCATGATATGTCGCCTCGTCTATACTGTGGTTGCTCATATGATTCTTATTGGCACCCGCCAGTTCACTGTCGCTTTTCACCACTGACACAAGTTCCTCATTTCCAACGTCATTCTCGTTACCAGCAAGTACAATTCAGTTACCCTTCTCACCAAAGTCGAAGGCCCTGGATAGTAACCTTCCCAATATTTTTATGGAAGTGCCAGACACTACACGACTGCGCATCGTGTACACCGGCACATGCCACGCTCCGAGAGTCTCTTTGTCCTCGATAACTAGCCAGTCACGAAGCACCAAGAAGAAGTTGGTCATTGCTCGACCATTACCTGAGTGCTGATGTTGAGCATGTTACCGATGCTATTGCGTGGTGGCATGAGCGCCGCTCATCTTATCCGTGTCTCTCACGGATGGCACTCGATTATCTGACAATACCTGGTACGTCTAATTTGTCACTATGAAATATTGTTCTGACACTGTTGGTAGCTACATCGGTCGACATTGAACATCTTTTCAGCTGTGGTAGGCTCTTGTTAACTCATGTTCAGTCATGTCTGTCTGCGCAGTCAACACGCACCTTACTCTGCCTCGGTGCTTCGAGCCATTTGAACCTTGTCAAGGATGGAGACGTTACAAATGTCGCTACCATTGGAGTGCGTGGAATTCATCGTCCATTACTTGGAGATGAAGAGTTTTAGTGAGTTCATACCACTGTGTCATTGCCTGGCACTTAGTGTGATCTCTTTTCTCTTTGTTCAGGAAACGACTTGGCAAGCACATCTTCAGGGACATGGATGCCGAGATTCGTAGTCACAGTGATGTTCTCGACAACCTCATGCAGCAATTCCGAGACCAAGTGATTGGCGATGTCTGCCAGATACTCGGAACAAGCTTTTGACTGAGACCAAGTCTTGGATCGGCAGTACTGAGAAGAATGTGCCACGTGTCTTATGGTTGTCTGGCATGGCAGGGGGAGGAAAATCAGCCATCGCCCATACAATAGCCAACTAGTCTAACAAGCTCAGGGGTCTGGGAGCATGCTTCTGCTTTGACCGCACACGGGGAGCAGATCGACTCCACCAGAAGATATTCACCACAATTGCATGTGACTTGGCTGCACAGTCATGACTTCTTCGTCGATGTGTCTTCGGCACAGAGCAACCTTGCCTTTACCTCGCTTCTGGTCATGAAGCGTGGACTTCGCTTCATCATCTGCTCCTTGAAGAATTTGTACTTGCCTAACTCTTCTGTCCATAATTTGGAGAAATGAGTCAAAGAATCCATTCCAGCTGAGCTATCATACTCATGTCGATTCTGGGGAACTCATGTCAGCACTACGTCCTTTGAATTGTCGCTCGCTAAGGAAGTTGAAGCTTTCTTCGATGGAGAGCACCTCCTTTGGTGGTTGGAAGCACTGGCCCTGACAAAAACCCTCGGCGGCTCTGTAGTGACCCTCTCATCCATCGAAAAATGGTTTTCAGTGTGTAACTCAAGCTTATTATTTTCCCAATGAAATCTTATGAGTAGCGGGGTGGTCGTAAGGTCATGCTGAGTTCATGCATGTTAGTTACGCTACCAGGGATACCATGTGTCTCGTCTGAACTTTTGCGACCACTATCTTACGCAGCACTCCCCATTTATACTTGTCCGCTCTGCCATTTGCTCCAACACAGTCAACAATGTTTCACAGGCGATGTTGTAAAGCTGGAAGTCAATCGTGATTCGAGACCAACTCAAGGCTAGCCAGATCGCACCTTTTGCCAGCCAGCTTGTAGCGCAGATGCTCAGTTGCCCGGTCAGCATCCTCACATCTTGAATTTAACATCTATAGACCTGGCCACGCTACGACTCATTTCAGCATATGCTTCTGGAGTCCTTTGCCATTGTTTGCGCCCCAAAGTTCACTCCCAAGTGCATACCACATTGCTTATACCACTTGTGTCTTAATTATTTTCACGGCTAGCTTTGGAATTTTCCGCCTCACCGACCCCCCAGGCTTGCAATTTTGGACTGCAATATCAAGGAAGCCTTCCACCCGCACTCAGAGGTACCGGTCTACACAGTGCGTAGCTTCTCGAGTGGGTCGCCTACAGCTATTAATTGGTTGTTTAGGACGCAGACAAGGGGCATCATCTAGCATTGATAGTACTAGGTATTACTTATGTTCTACGAGGTTACCAAATTTGATGGTTTGAATGCAATAAAACGGGGTCACTGCAATGTATGAGTCGTGACTGGTACAGACATATATTAGTAAAAGTAAGTATGAGTTATGACGACAAGCATCTGCAATGGTGAACGTTTAACATTACTAATAACATAGAGAGTCTGGCTTGCAAATTTTGAAAGTGCGGAGTGAGAATATCTAGCTTTGGCATTGAAAGTTTGTCAAAAAAAACCACAGAACATGTTTGAATGTGAATCTATACTTGGTTATAAGAATTGGACGAATTTTCACCGATGTTAGAGTGGATCCACCGGTCAAAATCAGTTGTCTGGAAGTCGTCTTCAGGGATTGCTTGGCTGATGATACTGGCAGTGGCTTCATCCAACAGTACATCTAACTTGTAGAAGCACGTATGGGTATGAATGCCCTGGTACACATTTAACTCTCATGAATTTCAGTATGACTCAGAGGATAAAACTTACGACAGTTCTTCCCCAGCTGTGTTCCCAATACATGTCAAATTTGATCTGTGCAGTGGATGTCAATGACTTGATCATTTAGAATTTGGCTATGGATCATGTACTTTGATGTGTTGTGTTGCATCAACTGGTAAGACTTCGTGTGCAGTGGCACTGCGCAAAAACAAGCGTGACCTATACACAACATCATCGCTGCTAGAATCCTCCTCAAAGAGCACGCTGCCATCAGCAGCATGAGGGGTTCCTTGACCACGCAAGTAGCGCTTCAAGTGCACCATAAACTGTCCTGCCAATGTGACATAGTCCAGATTAGGATTGTATCCCTGTCATAGAGGGAGGGAATACGAAGTAATTGGCTCAGGGCAAATGATATCGATGACTTGCTGAGGAAAGGTCAGAATGCGACCAGCAAACATTTCTTGCAGGATGGGCTGTGCAGAGCCGTCTACATGAAAGTACTAATGACAAGAGATTAGAAATACTCTGAGTGCGAACTGCTGACTTACATCACAGAATTTCATATCGTCATGTATGACATATTGGAATGCAGACTCTAGAGCACTATAGACTGTGTGTAGTCTGTGTGCGAGAGGTGTCTCATTACCAAAGACCATATGACAAATCAGCCGCTGCCCCAGGTCCATCTGTGCTGCTTCAGAGAGATAGCACAGTTGATTTATCTACAAGATCAACAGATTAGATATTTCTATTAGATGATTGATCACTGAGCATTTACCTGTATTGTACCGTCCACCTCTAAGATCAGTGAGTACGGATCACAGGCAGGTGCAATACTGAGTTCTCTGTGACCTGAAGGACTGATGACAGAGGATGGTGGCCATGAGCGCAGGTGTTGACTTGTCATAGGTGACGTAGCATCTAAGAATGGTTGTGCAATTGAAACTTCATAACCATCCAGTAGGTAGACGAGCAAATGTGGCAAGATGGGAAGCAGCTCCATACCAAGGATAAAACCAGTATGGATAATGAGACTATAGGCACGAAAAGATATGATATCTTCATCACAAGGAGGAAGAGATGTGACTGTGGGCATGTAGTATCCTTTGGACATCAGCTGCCAATGGCCAGAATGTTGGGTGATCATAGCGATTAAGGCGCCCCAAAAGCTTCGCATGGGACCATCTCCTACACCGTAGCCACTGTAATCATGCAAGTCAGTTGCAACATGTCAATGATGGTGTGTTTTGACCTACATAGTTGCATCTATAGAGCCTGTAATGAGATTCAAGGGTGTGGCATTGGTTATCTCTGTATCATCCAGGAAGACTAGTTGGCTGTCACTCCCTTCTAGACACCAAACCTTACATAGTGCCAGGAAGCTTTCGGCAGCCTTCTGAGCATTGGGGGTGGTAATATGAATGACATGGTCTTCCTGTCCAGCAACAGCTCTATGCAACTGAAGGTCATGTTCGAGTCTGTTGCGCCATTGACACAATGCCACGTGTGGAGAGCGAGGAGTAGTTTCAGAGGTAAGCAGAGATGCAGAAGAAAACAGAGGTGAAGATGATACAGATACAGCAGGGGGTGTGGGAGCAAATGGAGATGAAGACGACTCAGAAGAGGATGATGCAGATGATGTAGAAGACACAGAAGACATAGAAGCCGATAGAGAAGATCCAGACAAGGTAACACTAGGACGTCATGGCTGGGATATAGATGCCAGAACAGTAGGAGTACTGCTTATTCCACTGTTGGTGAGTGCATCTAAAAGATTCAGCTGGCATGTTTGAATGGCAGCAGCTGCTTGAACTGGCTATAAAACACCATCATGAGTATCATATCTGATTCAAAGTGTGATGGCATACCTGAGTAATACATATAGTCAAGCACTGAATCTCCTCAAGTTCTTCACGAAGTGATGACTCAAAATGACCATTCCAAAGTCACGGAGCAAGGCAACAATGCATGCCATGACCATCAATTGGTCCTGCAATTATATCCCACAGAGGGACTGCCAATATGATCAGTGTCAGTAAGATGACGGTAAGCAAGAAATACTTACGAATGAATACAAGGGTATGATCATGGTATGGTGCAGATGGGACAGGGAGTCTGGACCCATTCTTTTGGATATCATTGTGGGTCAGATGTTCCGGTGATGACCTTGCAGGTAGAAGTTTGGCACCATGTGTAGAACGCTGTCCTTTACCCGTCAACAGGAAAGACCATGGGAATTGAGTCATTGGAGTTGGTAGGCTGCTCAATGACGGAAGTGGATGTGAATCAGACCCAGAAAATGCAAGGCCAACCCTCTCGAAATGAGAGCACAGGGATTGATGGAATACAGGACCAGCAGGATCATCTTTTTGAAAACTGTCTTCAATCTCAAAGACAAGACCAAAGTTGCGGGCCTGCAAAATGAAACTCGCGATCTTTTGTGGTATAGGTGCACGAATTTCTCGGAACATATGTTCATATTCTGTGTGCACCGTCCCATGCATCTAGGATGGATAAAGGCCAATAAGTGTAAATCAAAGACTGCGCAAAAAAATGTACAGGCTCAGGATGTAGTACTACAAGGTACTTCGTGGTTTCATGCCAGCATTGGGTCACACTTGTTGACCTCGAGTTTCGACTGGTAGGATGTCTCGACGAGGAAGCCACAGCATTAGCCGACCTTTCTGCCTGGCGTCTTTGGATGGTTGGAATTACTGAAAGCAGTGACCGGGAAACACCTTGCCCATGGTGTGACAAGCGACGATTGTTGGTTGTTCCAGAGATCGGAGGTCCTGGAGGATTCCATGGAGGGAGGGATGCAGCAGACCACCTGGCAGGTGTAGCTGCAGGTAAAGAGGCTGGCATATTTGCCACTGGTGCAAGCAACAAGCCAGAATTTGAAGAAACTGATGCTAATGGTGAAGTGGGAGGCTGGAGATAGCCTTGCATGGAATGGGGCAAAGTCACTGGAGGGGTAAGTGAAGACAAGGAGACATTTGTGGAAGCACTGGTGCTGGATCCATGTCTACTAAAAAGAGATGGTGTGCTTGGTTCAATGGAGTCCCGACGCTGGGGTGAAAGTGGCAATGAATGTTCATAATATGGGCAAGAGCAGAGCAAACACATTGCTCGAGGATCCCCAGGTGAATTATTCTTACAGAATTTTAGCCTGATGCTAGGACTCATAATTGAAATACATACCGTCATGAAATGTTGTTGGGCTTGATCTGGACAGTGATGAAGAGGAAGGGATGGGACATCAACAATGACAGCATGATCTTGCTCCGAATGTGAGCATGCACATGTATCAATCTAATCAAGATGGTATCACTTTTGAGCGTCAAAGATGAATTGAGAAACTCACCCCAAAAATCTCAATATACCCTGTGCAACGGCACCCACTCCCATGATGGCAGTGCAATGTTTGTATAGGCATGTTATAGAGTTCATTCATCGTCAGTAGAGTTGGTACTGTTGTCACACCGAACGCAGTCAGAAGAGAAGGTGGGTTGTTCAAGTTTTCGCACTTTTTGGCATTGGCCCGTGCGCTTTGCCATCATTCCATGAAAACTAAGGTCGAAGGATGAGGAACTCTAGTCATTGTTGCACATGCGCAGAAAGCTTAAGTGAAAGCATATCCCGAAATAGAAATTTAATCATATGTTCCGGAAAGTGAAAGTTGGTTTTGGGAAAGAAAACTCACACGACCGGAAAGCGAAAGTGTTGATGATCAAACCCAGACAAATTTTGTCCGCTGGCACCCTTCATATCACTTGGACATCAGACAGTGACCTCAGACATTGGATTTGTCCTTTGGGCATTGAACTAGGATATTGGAGATTGACCTCGGACATTGGACATTGGACATTGGACATTGACCTCAGACATTGGATTGGGACATTGGGCATTGAACTCAGACATTGGACATTGACCTCGGACATTGGACATTTGATTTGGACATTGGATTTGGACATTGGGCATGGAACTCAGACATTGCACATTGACCTCAGACATTGGACATTGGATTTGGACATTGGGCATTGAACTTGGACATTGACCTCAGACATTGGGCATTGAACTCGGACATTGGACATTGACCTTGGAAATTGGGCATTGCACTCAGACATTGGACATTTGACTTGGACATTGAAATCTGATTTGGAACATTGAACTGGGATATTGGACATTGGACATTGGGTATTGGACTCAGACATGAGACATTGGACTTGGACATTTGACACTGGACTCAGACATTGAATTTGGACATTGAACATTGAACATTGAACATTGATATCAGACATTGCAAATTTGACCATTTATCATTCACACACCCTCTGTTCCTAATATTTATTTTAATTTTTCCTTATTTTGTATTGCACACAAACTGTGGAGATATCGGAAACCACATTCATGATTTGTTCTGTTCAATTTCTTTTTTCTTTTTCTTTTGTCTAAATATGAGACAAATGTAGACATTTGGCTTTCAATTTGTCCCCAATATTGCCATTGATAAAGTAATATATTCATCATGACAGAAGGTCACAATCTTGTTTTCATTTTCTTTTCTGACAATGTTTGGAACAATTCAAATGGTTCTGTGGTCCTGATTTTGTCTGTGTTTTTCCATGAAACACATCATACAAAAAGTTTTGATTTCTCCATTCATTTTTTCTGATATACTTTTTCAAAAAGAATCATACACCATGTTGCTTCTAATTTGTATAGTATTTTGTTCTGTGACAAAGGTGAACATTATTCTAAAATTGTCACCTGATATATCATGAAGACATTGAAACCACAAAATTTTAATTTGTTTACAGTTTTCTCCGTTGGAAATTTACAAGAACATTATGATTTTGTTTCATCATTTTTAGGCAGATTACATGACAGATAAATTTTGACCTTTTCCTTCAACAAGTTTACAGTTTTTCCAGCGGAAAAGATAGATCCCGCACCCAGTGAACTATCCAAGCAATACAGTTACAGTCGAGGTACAAGCGAAAATACTCGAGGATCTCTGTATCAAACTATACGAGTAATTGCTCGCTGCGAGTGCACCATCTCCATGGGAAGCATAGAGAGCATTTTGATCTTACTTCAGAGCTGAGCGAAGTACAGTTAATGATTGTAGACGAAGAGACGGAGAGACACTACTGAATACTTACCAGTGAACCAGGTGCGTAAGTCGCCCTTCATATCATCATCAATCTTATCCATCATGGACTGACACGCTTCGACGGCCGCTTTAAAACTACCTGCTCGAAAGAGTGCATAACACTGTTGCTGGTTCGCGGTTTGCCACAGGGACTTGAGATCCCAACCAAATAGCTGTGGAAAACACGCAGTTGAGCACGAAAGAATTTTCGGTTGCGTCATATCAGCGTACCACGACAAATTCATCGTACGTCACATGAATTGGCGATTTATAAAAGAAAGTGCTAGCATTTGCAGCGACAGTGAAGTGTTCAACAGCTTCATTGTGACACGCGCCCTCCAAGGCAATGTTTCCTAGTTGGACGCGTAGATAGGCCTGGTGTACGAAGGGCAATGATCAATGACAACACATGAACTTGGCGTGAGCGAGTGTATGATACTCACTTCTACGATACGACAAGCGACAGGATCGACATTGGGACAAGCAGCTAGTTCTCGGATGCGAAAAATCGCCTCTTGATGTTCATTTGCATTGAACAATGCAATGGCCTGAAAACCGCAGTGAAGCACGGAGTATATTGGAAAATATTACCTGCCTTGATAAAGAAAAGGAAGTGATCGGACTTGAAATCTCGGTTCGTGAACGTGGATGCAAGGTCAAATGAGATCCTCGCAGCCAGAACCTGCTTTTTCCCGCAGAAGGCAATGCCCTCGGAGATATGGCCTGCCAACGATGGCTGAATGCTGACGGACTATGCCATCATCAAAGTTAACCTTTGTGAGGAGGTCACGATGGGTCAGTCCGTCTCACCTGAATTGCGTCTTGAAGTGCTTGGTCCCAGTCGCATTTTCGCGCCATAACAAATCCGCGATTGGCATAGGCAATGTGATTCTTGACGTCAGTGTAAATATCTGTATTTAGCACCCTTTCAGCGGTAGGCCAGTCCCCAGCTATGCATGCGTTGCGGACTGTCGAGTTCATAGCGAGGACCTGCATAAAACATGTTCATGTTGCGTTATAAGAGTCAAAGGTTGGAACATGCCTTGAAACCAGAGTAGGCTTGAACCTTGGCATAAAAAAAGGCGCTTTAATGATGAATGGGCAGGAATATGAAAACAAACTTACCTGGTGCATGGCCTGCTCCTTCATGAGGCCGTCCTTTGAACCATCCTCTGGCAAAGCATCCTCGGATGTTGGCCACTCTGAGATCTTTTTGTCCACACCTCCACTGAGGACGTGATTGCCATTCGCAGAGAATGTGACGCAGTCCACCTCCCCAGAGTGCTTGAATATACCAATGTTTCGTCGATCTGAGAGTCGCCAGAGGCGGACGCGGTTGTCATGAGATGCGGAGGCAAGGAGAGTGCCGTCAGAGTCCACAGAAATGGCATGGATATCCTTGAAATGGCCCTTCCAGGGGTCACCGACCTGCTGCCAGGTCGATGCATTCCACTCTCGTATGGTGGGATCAGCCCCATTACCACCCGAGAGAAGCCGTGTGCCATCTGGCGTCCACGCGAGTGAATAGTTTAATCCTCCACTGATCGTCGTCATCAACTGAGTGGGAAATGCTGGTGGTGATGGGTAATTGTAACTGTAGTAACTGTTTCCAGTGTAATTTTGGTAATGTTGGTAAATTTGGATGTTGTGGTCCGTTGCAATCGCAAGAAGTGCATACGAATGGTGTGACCGTGGCGAATGCTGAACGCAGCGGACAGTTCCACCGCAATTGAGTGTATACTGCACCTGCCACGTTGATGTATCCCATAGCTTCGTGGTAGTGTCAGATGATCCACTAGCCAGTATCCTGACACTCGAAGAAAAGTCGAGTGATAATATCCAGCCATCGTGGGTTTTACTGATTGTTTGGTTGAGTTCCCCAGTGAGTCCATGCCAGACGATAAGCTCTCCGCTCTCATCGCCGCTTGCTATCCATTTCCCATCTCGTGAAACAGCCAATGCCCGCACCCGACTGCGATGCCCCTCCATCTTCCTCAACACTACACCTGCTTTCAAGTCCCACAGACGAAGCATCCCATCATACGAGCCCGTGACCATGCGTTCGTCGGAGCTATATTGGGGTTTGTAAACTGTGATTGCGACCACGCGATCCTCGTGATCTGCAAATGCTCGAATGGGTGTGATGTTTGGGATGAGCGCCGCCATTTTAGTGGAGCTGCAGCACAGTTGAGGGGAATGGCGTCTTGCTTGAAGTTGCAGAGGTGCGTGTGATGGAGTATTTTACACCTGCTTCATAGCATCACACTCTCACTAGACGCCCATAACATGAGGCTATTATCACAAGTACCTTGCTTGACAATCTAAGCGAACGGGCTCACGCATCCAAGTCGTGTCACCGCAATGTTCCACATCAGTCAACGAGGCTGGTGGCAATTGTTTCAGGGGTCCACGCAACAGATAGGAAGACGAACATACACGGCTCACCCGATCCACTTGATTGGCCATGTCCTCGAATTTTAATCAAGTCGCCATCCAAAGACGTAGTATTCCACCGGTGAGATGTTGAGCTTCTCTTCTCTGGAACATTCGTAGCGGACATCCGAGGCTTCCTTTGATCTGCCCTGGTTGCTGGCATCATGGGTATGTGGGATTTGCCATTAGCACTCAATCGTTTCAAACTCTGATTCAAGTCGGCTGTGATTGAACGTTGGATCATTTTGGATTCGGGGTCTTGAATTAGCAACTCCAAGGCACGTTGTTTCTCGGATTTCCGGTGGTTGAGGATAGCAGTGGGTATGGCGACTCTGACCTTCTAGATGGGCCCACCAGCGAAATTCGTGTTTCCATTCTAGCTGTGTCTAGTACACGGAATTCTACACGGAACCATCATGTATGTTGCGTGTAGGGTTCCTAACATTTGAATACACATTGCATACCATATGTGGTTGTCGTGTCATGGATGGTCAAGCTTGTGGCGTTCGAGGCTACTTTTACACATAGAAGCTCTGACTCGGATGACGAGCTGATTCCTGTTATATGTTTGGTACTATTGACGTGATGTTTGGCCCGCTTCTCGTATCAACGGGATATTTCGCCCGACCATTCATAATAAATGGGATCTTAAGTACTTGTCGTTTATCCAGTTCCTCAAGTAAATAGAGGCCTTTAGAGGGGAAAAAAAATCCGGTGTATCAATATGAAAGTAGCGATGAGACAATTCAAATTACACATTGACGAAACGAATATCTCGAGCTTGACCAGTGCAAAATGAACAACACTCCACGGGAGATACTCAAAGATCATCTGAATCATGCGATTTCGTCTTGTGATAGGGGTGCGCTGAGTACTGCAGATGGTGTAAAATAGTCATAAAGGATATAGCAGTGGATAGAGTCAACTGCGACCATAAGCACCACTACGCCAGCTGCTACTAGTATTTGTTGTACCGTCCTGAGGGGGTATATGAACACGATCTGAGCGTTATCGTGGAGGCATTCTCAGTCTTCCGTGAGACCAGCGTGAATAGTAGCACAGGAACGCCTTGCACCAATATACGTCTGGAGTGAATCAATATCGGACGACTCGGTATCCTGTGGCAGTCCAGGCTGCTGTCCAGACGGATGTTGGGCGTCGTCTACTTTATTGTATTCCGGCAGATTGTCAGCAACCAGCCGCTATAAGACACAAATTAGCGAAGCAATGTTAGTTAAAAGGATGCAGGTTACAGTGACCTTGCGTCCTGGTGCTACTTCAACGACTGGTGGCCCATGATTATGTTTTGGTACAAGGAACGAAAGGCGACGTCATAGAAACTGCGTGACTGGATAGTTCGAGGGCTTATTTCGAACTCTCAGTTTCATAGTGGCAATACACTGCTGTGCATTGTGCAGAACAAGGCTGGCTTGATAACGTTCTGAATATAGACCCGCGGATGATCGCATCTTATCATGGGCGTCAAAGGTGGTTCAAAAGTCCGCTCTAGAAAGCTATATTTGTATCCTTCGTAGGGCGTCTAAGGAGTCTCTCAGTAACCACGACTAGCAGAGATCATCGATCGTGAGTTACTCACTATGTATCATGACGCTGTTGTCTAACATTAGCAGACAGCTTTCAAGTCATCATGGATGGCTCGGACAGCATAGGCGCCTCCAGAACTGACGACAACGACTTCAGAGATCTTGTTGAAGAAGTATTCGACGAATATATCGTCAACGAAATACCAATTCGTCTAATTCATATCAGCAACGATGGCCAGGGGCTGAATTTCAAACTCGTGGACAGGAATTTCGTCAAGGAGCACTTCAAATCAGTCCCTGACGAGATTTATAGAGAATTTTGCAACGAAAGGCTCGTAGACAGGGAGGGCCGTATCAGAGAGCGGATGAAGGAGACATTCAAATATGCTATCTTCTCCCATCGGTGGCTGTTCAGCGAGCCTTCGTATCAAGATATGCCGACGGAGCCAATGAAAGTCCAAGCTGAGCTCGAGCCTAAGTGGAAGAAGCTTCAAGAATTTTGTCGTAAAGCGAAGGTTGACCATGGTTGCGAATTTGCCTGGTCAGACACGTGCTGCATAGACAAAACAAGGAGCGCGGAGTTGGACGAATCCATCCGCTCCATGTTTCGCTGGTACAGGAATTCCCACATATGCATCGTACACCTGTCGGGGACGGAAGACCTTGCAGCTCTTGAAAGGCAGCAGAGGGGTGGAACAAAGATCGATGTTTGGTTCACAAGAGGATGGACACTCCAAGAGCTCCTTGCTCCATCGCAAATCAAGTTTTACGGAACGAACTGGCAGCCCCTCGTACCGCTCTACGACTCCAAGAGCGACAGAGTCAGCGATACCATCATGCGAAAGATAGAGAAAATCACAAACATTCCTCTCAGAGATCTTAAATCGTTCAGTCCTGGCACAAATCGAGTGCCGGAAAAGATGTTGTGGGCATCGAAGAGGAGAACGACCCGCGTCGAAGATATTGCATATTGCCTCATTGGAATATTCGATGTCAGCCTCATGATCGCGTACGGGGAGGGGAACAGGGCCTTCTTCCGTCTGATGGAGGAGATAATGAAGAGATACGACAAATGGGACGTGTTCCTCTGGAGTGGCAAATGCTCCCACTACAACGCAGCACTTCCTCACGATCCACGCTGTTATCCTGTGGGATATCAGGAAACGCTTGTAAAGCGCCGACACGAAGCAGACAATGAGGAGGAATGGAATACAGCAAACTACGGCATTGGGGATAGGCTTTTTGCCTTGACTAACCATGGCCTCCGAATCAAGGTGCTCTGTCTGTCTGTCGATCTACAACAGACAAGAGACGAGCCGCATAATTCGAGATACCTTACCTTCAGGCATCCGGAGTTCATTCATGATGTGGTGGTGAGGCATATTGGCGCAAAGCGTGAACCTCATACCACCTGGGCAATAGCTGTCCTGGACTACTGGGCTAACAGCAGTGGGAGTGGTTTCATCGACAGGGTTAGAAGAGAACCATTTACCGCGTTTCTTTTGTCCATGGATAAATCACATGCACCAGATGCGAGGTGGAGGAAGGAGATGACAGAGGAGGTTATTAGAATTCGACCAGCCAACCACTATGAGAACCCTTTGGTCGAGTTGTACCTTTAATGATGTGGCTTTGCTGTGCTCAGATCGAAACCTTTTGACCTCGAGCTCATGTTCTTGAGAGCGGCTCCATTCACATCAAATTAATTTCTGGAGTAGTAGCGGAGTTTGAATGGCGTACTACAAACCGGGCCCGCTCTCGAGATTTGATCTACTACGAACAAGTCCAGACTGGTCATAGCCTTGCCGTTTTTAGCATTAATGCTCCAACAGGATTTGAATCTTTTGATGAGTCCGTTCTTTGACGTCTGATCTGCTCCGCCACAGTGAGTACAGCCATCTTAGCTACATCTCACGGGTGCGGGAAGGGCCCTTGTATTGGAGTATCATTCCCTAGTAATACTAATACAAGGCTGAGTACGCACTGGCAGCTTGTTCAAGCAGTTGCCAAAGGTCCTCCTACCAGTGGTGGTGTTGACAATCCACTAATCACTATAGTTGTCGACCAATCTTCCTATCATCGCTTTTATGATCCAATCAATGATAACCGAACGTTCTGCCCCGGTTTTCAGCCGATATTGAGGTGTATTTCATCAGTGAGCTATACATATAAGATATTCGCACGAACTCACAGAGCTCACAACTCCTCCTTGTTTCGCAGCTGGTCATGCAGAACCAGGTAATCAAGCAAACCCCGCGACAACAAATCCCCTCATTTGAAATCGGCTCACAAAAGACTCCAGGTCCACTTGTGTCCATTGCACAGGTGAAGGGGCACCTCCGCCTCCTTAGAGCGTTCCATAACCTGAGGGTTATAGTAGAAGAATGCAAGGACCACAGAATTCCTACCTTTGCAGCCCAAATGGATAGAGATAGCCGGTGGATGTGGTTTATTACCCTGGCTATCGACAGGTTCGTCAAATCACATCCATTCAATGACGTACACACCATGATGCCTAAACAAGATTTGAGCGATGGGTCAAATCTCTGACATTCGTACCTCTTGAGAAATTCATCAACAAACAGTTCCCACCCATCGACGTGTGGATGGTTTGGCATGCCTATCTATTGAATCCGTGGTAAGTTCTGTACTAGTGAACCCTGCGGAGTTAATGATTTGAAATTTCACCTTGGGCAGTTGGTACGAAGAAGACTGTGAACGTCTCCTCATTCTTCAACAGCTCCGCCTCCTCAACGTGTTCGTCGTTTCTTCTGTCAGTTCTTGCTTATAGTTATTTTCCTGGACACAAGTTGACCATGTGTAGATCGATGTTGGAAAGCTTGCAAGGAATCAGCCATCTGCCTCGCGGATGGCTGCATGGCACAAACAAACTGGGTCATTCTTCGATCCATTTGATGCCATGGAAGAATTAACTCATAAACAAATGGAGTGTCCTCGGTGTCGGACACGTGTCTTCGTTCGTGAGTCAAGAGGTTCATTCACATCTTCTAAGGCTGATATATTTTACAGCGTTTGTCAACGATAATGGAACCGGCTACTATGAGCAGCAGTTTAGTGCTATGTGTCCTCTCCCAGGATGTAGACTGAAGATCACAAAAGGGAATCTAGCCGTGGCGAAGTTCGTGCGAGATCTGACAGAGTCAGAGGATGGGAGCGAAAATTTTATGG